AAATTGTAATAGATTTAGAGTAATTTCAAAGAAGTTTTCAAAACAGAAGTCATGGCCGGACGGTCGCACCACATGATAATTTGACCTTTTGAAGTTCAGAAAAATTACAAAAAAATCCTGATTTTTGAAAAGTTGAAGTGGCTCCATATATTAGAGAGATACTACACATAGATAGTATATTTTTTTACATTAAAAACTTTTTGTAACTTAAAGAAAATACAGCCGGACAGAATATTGAGGCGTCACGTCATTGACCCAAATACTGTGGTTAGTTTGGCTTTGGATCTGATCATCTAACAGGGGGCAGAGTCGTGTTGCCTGTACTGTTTATGGTTTATAAGTTAGAAAGAAAGGAATTTTGATATCCCTCTATGGTCTCTGAATTCTTTTGTCCCTGTGTTATATTCCCTTCTGTTATGGTCAGCCAGTCAGTTTGTTTGTTTTTTTCAATAAATTGAAGGAAATAAGGTAAAAATACTACCCACGTAGTCTACTGGCCCCAATGGAAGCGAACTTTTCATTACTGCATTGTCAACAAGAAGAGGTAAAATCTTGAACTTTCCAGACTCCTTTCCATGTATTGTATTGATAGGATGTCTCTGCTATGTATCGATAAGTACTGTTTTGGGGTTTGGACCAATTAGAATGAAGTTTTCAAACATAGCCAGGTGATGAATAAGAAACAAATAGATATATTGTTACACCCTTTAGATACCATGATAGTAGTGGTCAATTGATGATTACTGGCTTTAGAAAATGTGAATAAATGCCACTGATTCTGATTTGGGTATGAGCGTTTGATGCCACTTCCAAGTCTACAGGCAACCCTGTTAAAATAACCTGGATCTGCCCCTGCCTCTGTAATGCAGCTTTATTGCTAGAGCAAGCAACATTACGGGGCCATTTTGGGCTGCACTGGTTCCAAACCTGTGGCCCTCAACCGCAGCAGGGCATTAGACTTCTTTACAACACACTTGCTGGATAATTTCCTTCTTTTCTTTTGCTAAATATATTAAAATCATGAACAAGCCAACAAATAAACCTTAATACTCTGTAAACTGACAGCCTTTTGACCATTGTATCTATGTTTCTGTCTCTTCTTTCAGTTGCCTTTTTGTCAATTTTTCCCTCAGCACACATAGGCCATGAGCCAGGGGGGTTGGTCGGTATCAACTGAGGGGAATAATGCTCATAGTGATTTTTGACATTGTATACATGTATAGAGTTAGAAAATATGTGATAGCATTGCAGCAGTGGTAGCTAAATGGGTGCTATCATGCATTTTATTTAATAACACTAGGCGAAAATTACATGGGTCAATATATGAAAACATACAACTTAACCCCCCAAAAAAACCTATAGAAAGGGTTTCTTTTCACCATACATCATTTCTATAAGGTTTCTAGACTAACATGAAATAATAATAATAATAATAATAATAATAATGCATCAGATTTCATATAGCGCTTTATCAGAGACCCTCAAAGCGCTTTACATTGGAAATAAAAGTCCTAAGAAATCCTAGTTGGAAAAGTATGTTAATTTCGCCAGACAACAATACGCAAATGAGCTCAAAACTCATCAAAATTTGCCCAAAATACTCCTTTTCCCCTGAACTATTATCACAGTGAAACTATTATCACAGTGAAAGCACATTGAAAGAGGGTGATGGCAATGCTGCTTTTGGACTGGCCTCTAACCTGAAAACTGCCCGGCTTGGTTGTACCTACCAGGGGTATAACCCCGACCGGTGTAGTCTTCAGGGTCACTGAGGCACACAAGCCTCCCCACCACGACAAGGTAGCAACAAAAGGGGAGGGTGTTTTTTTTTTCGTTTATTTTTTTTTTGTATGTTTATTTTTGCCTGGATCCTCGCCACCTTCTCTACATGTCAGTTCCTGGCTTGTTCTTTGCTTTGTTCTGGGACAGAGTTAAACCAAGAAAGGTGGTTTTGGTGTATATCCCTATGTTTGCCGTTCAGGAATAGTGTAGGCCTGAATCTCTCCAATTCTCAATTATACAGATTATACTTTTGACTACTATACGTTCACAACCTAATAATCAAAATCATTTTCATCAACTTCTTCCATGTCTTCTTCATCTGAACTTTCCACACTGTCTGAGGTGGATGCTTGGTTCTCACAGTCTGCCAGTCTACACATGTCAGTACACTTGAGGCCATTTGCAATACAGACTCATTTTGGGAGTGAACATTTCTTTGGACAGTTACAGGCCAGTAGATCCAGGACCGCATCAGGTGCTGGCGGGCCGTCCATCCAGTGTACCACCAACTGTTCAGATTCACCTTCTGTCTCCATTTTCCACCCTCAGCTCTGAGTTGTACAGCTTGTGTAAGCTTTTCATTCGACTTGGAGCCCTTTAAAAACTTCTCTTTCTTACAAAAAATGCAGACATGATCATACACCCTTGATACTGATGAAGATCTCCTTCTAGGCCTTTTTGATACACAGCCGTACTCAACATCTTCATCACCAGTAATGCTTTCCTTGGCCTTCTTTTTCAATGACTCCAATTCCCTCTTCGTGGTGAAGAGGCTTAGGCATTTTCTGTGATAATAAATTGTAGGCACATCCTTTTCTCCAAGTTTTTTAGCAATGTCTAAAATAGGGGCATAGTTCCTCACTTTGGCTGCTTCAAGTAATGTTTCCCAGGATTTATAGTCTTGGGGACTAACTAAATGTTCACCATCATGCTTGGATGTTTTATTGTGCATGATGCACTGTTTAATCGATTCTTTCTGCTTAGGACCCTCCATCATGAAGGAAAGTGATTCAGCTCCTTGACATGAAAACACTCTGCTGTTCTCTGAATTGTGTTGTACAGGACTACTCCACCACCACTGACTGGCCTATTTATACTGTGTGCCTCAATGAAATCAATGCACAGCATGTGTGTGTTGTGCACACCCAGTGCCATCCATTTAGACTGTCTCAGGCCAAGTGTGAGTGTGACAACTTAAATCACAGCAGGAATAAAGTAGAAATATCTAGCCTATGCATTACTCACCATGTTTTATGTATTAACATGTTTAGGTTGTGTACAAATTTAACATTTGTGTTACATCTTTCATGAAAACGGAAGACATATATTGTCACTTTGTTGTAAGAGAAAAAAAACATCTAGAGATGCTGATTCCAACAACTCTACTGAACAATATATAGCCTGGGCTTTATCCTGACATTTTTTCACAGAGATAGGGTCAATTAATGAGAGAGAGCCATCAGTTTGAAGTAGAATGATTAATTCGGATTTTGAAAACTCTGTTTTGGCATGTGGACATAAATTGAGTGATAACACACAGAAAGCTACCACAGATGCAATGCGATCACATTTTTTCTGGTACTAGAGGTACCAAAAATCACTATGAGAATTATTCCCCCCGGTTGATACCGATGACCCCATATTAGGAGTCCTAGCTCAAGGCCTAACACTGTGCATGCTGTAGAGATGTGAAAAGGTGTCTGGACAGCTCATAGCCAAAGACCAGCACATCTCTACATTAAGCATACAGTAGGCTCGTACATTCCCTTTCCTGATTTATGCAATCTTAAAAAGGGACATTTTGAAATCATATGTGCTGTAAAATTGCTAAAAAAAATTTTTCCCTAGCATAGTGGGAGCAAGAAGTCCTGTGTCAGATGGTTTTGCATATCCAAAACACTTTGCTACAATAAACATGTAAATAAATGAACAAAAAAAAGCCACAACACAACTAATTATCATAAAAAAAAATACAAAAAAAACCCACTTTCAATGGAACTGAAATGGGCCATTAATTTCTGATGGAAAGTAGGCATCATAATTGAGGACTGCTTCTACACAGCCTTAAGACAGGTAGCAGGTTAAAATACAATTAAACTAATTTGGGCCACTGCTTGATGAGATGATTGCAAAGCCATTTCTGTTTAAATTAGTAGTGACATGTGCTTGCAAAGTACAGTTCACTTAGTTTTTCAATCTGTGCAATCCACAACTTGTGATAACAGACTAGCTTATTAAATAATGTCATGTCTTGCATATTACAATGACAACACAAACCTTTTTAATGGGTTCTTAAAACAATGATTTGTCACTGGTAACGACGTTACAATAACAGGTCAGTATTCTCTTAGATATCGATTGGTGGCTCTTAAAAGAGCCGTTGTGGTGTTTTTCTTCAAGCTAGAAACGATTTAAGCTCTCTCTCCACGGATGCGGCGGGCCAGCTGGATGTCTTTGGGCATGATGGTGACCCTCTTAGCGTGGATGGCGCACAGGTTGGTGTCCTCGAACAGACCGACCAAATAGGCCTCGCTGGCCTCCTGCAGGGCCATGACGGCAGAGCTCTGGAAGCGCAGGTCGGTCTTGAAGTCCTGGGCGATCTCCCTGACCAGACGCTGGAAGGGGAGCTTGCGGATGAGCAGCTCGGTGGATTTCTGGTAACGACGGATCTCCCTCAGAGCCACGGTACCGGGCCTGTAACGGTGAGGCTTCTTGACGCCACCAGTGGCTGGGGCGCTCTTACGAGCGGCCTTAGTGGCCAGCTGCTTCCTGGGAGCTTTACCTCCGGTGGATTTACGGGCGGTCTGCTTGGTTCTTGCCATGATGATTTTTCTCTCAATGAGCAGGAGAGCGAGACTCCGCTCTTAAAGCGGAGGAGCGGATGTAAAACGGTGACGCTGCTGCAGATCTCCGGCTCCTGATTGGTGAGAGGCTGCCCGTGGAGCTCAGCCCCGCCAAGTGGATGGTTGGCTGGCTGTAGAGAGGGAGGGCAGCGAGCCTCCGCCTCCCACTCGTCAGGATGCTGATTGGAGAGAAAGCTTTCAGAGGCAAGCGGGATTGAGCGGGTGGTATCCCCCCGCCGCTTCTCTGCTGGAGACCTCTGCACTGGTTGGCTCGCAGAGAAAAGGCGCGCGCTCACAGGGTATAAGAAGAGGGCCTGGTCTACAAACGATATCATTTCTGAGTTCAGACTTCAGAAGTACTATTACAACGACAACATGAGTGGAAGAGGCAAAACCGGTGGCAAAGCCAGGGCAAAGGCTAAGACCCGTTCATCTCGTGCCGGGCTGCAGTTCCCAGTGGGTCGTGTTCACAGACTGCTGCGTAAAGGTAACTACGCTGAGCGTGTCGGAGCCGGTGCCCCCGTCTATCTGGCCGCTGTGCTTGAGTACCTGACTGCTGAGATCCTGGAGCTGGCTGGAAACGCTGCCCGCGACAATAAGAAGACCCGTATCATCCCCCGCCACCTTCAGCTGGCCGTCCGCAACGATGAGGAGCTGAACAAGCTGCTTGGCGGAGTGACCATCGCTCAGGGAGGAGTGCTGCCCAACATCCAGGCTGTGCTGCTGCCCAAGAAGACCGAGAAGCCCGCCAAGAAGTAAATAATCCAACCCCTGACTAACATAAACCAACGGCTCTTTTAAGAGCCACCCACCACCTACAAAGAGCAGACTTTCTGTTGGTACAATTTTAAAAAGTTCCGACAGTTCTTGACAGACTTTACTGAGAGGAGCAGGTACCCAACAGGCCTACATCCCTATATCACATCCTATACAAAGTTACACCAGTTATATCAAAGTTACATCTGAACACCAGACATCATCAAAGGCCCAAATGACACTTTGTTTCTCCTATATTAGTTTTACTGCCATTTCTTCAATCATAGTTTTCAAAAGCATATGTGGTACAATAGCATTCGCTTGTCTTTTACTTTTACAAAGCTGCACAGTACTCCTCATTTGCAAGGTGTTGCAGACACAATTTAATATATTTTTTAATTGACTCCAAATATTTGTCTCAAACTATGTATACTGTGCAACCACGACACACATCCATGAAGCTCATACAGAACACAGAGCAAAACACGTTCACTCTAGACACTTTCTAACAACTCATCTGTTTACTGTTGAAGGCTGACTTGTTTGTCCTGTGACTCAGACCTCATTTCATAATGCTTATTTTACCCTTGGATGTTCATAAAAAAAATCCCATTCCAGACGATCGTCCAATACTTACACCTCACAGTCTCAGGATGTATGAGAAAAATCTGACAGAGTTTATTCACTCACTCTAAATAACAAAGCCCACCACCTAAATGAAGAGCACAAAACCTCTTGTAACTGTTGCATCTGCCCATACTGAAGTAAACTGATAACTGCCCTATATATCATGCAAACCACAAAGTCGTTTAATAGAGGCTGTTCCCAAATTAAAGCCATTGGTTTGTAACAAACATTATTTTTCTGAATGGAAAACAATTATATTTTAATGTCCAACCCCCCCATGAAAAACAATGACAAGATTATATCAGAATTGTGGTTGTTGCAGGTTTAATACAACTCATCAGGTCATAACATCGATTCATGATAAACATGCTCTTTATATTGAACACATGTTTTAGAAAGTCATTATGGGGGGTGCCTACATTTATTTTTCATGTTTTTTTTCTTTGTGTGTGTCAATCCCCTGTGCCTCGAAATATGTTATTAAGCTTTATATGATTACCATTATTAAATAATCACTTACTGGAGGATGTCTCTCAGGAATCACTAGATATCATCTATCAATAATTTTAGTTATAATTATAATTTTTCCCCCTATTTTTAAGCTCATGGTTTTACTCTAGAGAAGACTTATAAGCTTATACCTCAGTGTTTATTTCACTGTTCACTTAATTGTTAACCGATCCGCTGCCTCATAATTATAGAGTACATGTTTTACTGTGTATTTGTGTTTGTGGGTGAGTTTTGTGTGCGTGTATTGGGGAGGATTCTAACACGAATACGATACAGCTCGCTCACAGATATAAATGATCTGTGGACACTAAGAAAAAACGCGGTAATCGCTGAATAATTCAGACAGAGCCTTTGTCCTTTTGCTGTTCAGCTTTCACAAAGCGCACTGATTCCAGCCAATCCGGCGTGAGCAACAGCACATAATCATGCGCGTGGAGGAGGTATATAACGAGAGCCCTGACCGCAGTGAGGTACGTTGGTCAGTTGCAATCAGCTGATAAACATGCCTGATACAGTGAAAGCGCCCAAGAAGGGATCCAAGAAAGCCGTCTCTAAGGCGACCAAGAGCGGCAAGAAGAGAAAGAGGACCAGGAAGGAGAGCTACGCCATCTACGTCTACAAGGTCCTGAAGCAGGTCCACCCCGATACCGGTATTTCCTCCAAGGCTATGGGCATCATGAACTCCTTCGTCGGTGACATTTTCGAGCGTATTGCCGGTGAAGCCTCTCGTCTGGCTCACTACAACAAGCGCTCCACCATCACCTCCAGGGAGATCCAGACCGCCGTCCGTCTGCTCCTCCCCGGAGAGCTGGCTAAGCACGCCGTGTCTGAGGGCACCAAAGCCGTGACAAAGTACACCAGCTCCAAGTAAATCCGCTGCGCCGCAGTAAAACCCAAAGGTCCTTTTAAGGGCCACCCACCTGCTTCTCCAGAGAGCTACGTTCTTGTTTATCAAAATCCACAGTCTTTGCTGTTGAAATATGAGTGTAGGTCCTTGTGGGGGCTCAAAAGACCTTGCGCTCGACCTGGAAGGTCAGTGAAATCGCTTCCCAATTCCATCTGGCTTGTTAAAAATTCCATGAGGTGGTGTTATAACCTCGTTTGACAGTTAGATTTTCCCCCCCACCCAATTCATCTAAAACAATTCATTTTTTTTTTTTTTTTTTGTTTTGTTTCTGTTTTATACAAAAAAATGTACTCCCTTGTTCTGTCAGTTGTATACATCAATGGCTATGTGTTGATATATTTTGAGTGGACGGCAAAAGTACAGTTGTATAAACTGTACACCGTAACTTTCGTGTGGGGAAATAAACAGTTGAGGCCAAAATTATTAGCCCCCCTCTGAAATTTTGAGTTTTTCTCTAAAATTTCTGAAGTGCTGTTCAACAGATTATTATACACGGCTTTTCCAAAAGTCCTAGTTTCGTTTTGGATCCTTACATTATTTTACTTTGCACACAGAAACAAAATTAATTCACAAAAAACAAAAACTACAAGGATCAAAAATCTAAGCCCCCCTGAGGCTGATAGTCGATTGTCCTTATTGCTGGATAATAGCATGCAGTCGGATGTTGTAGTTTGTAACAAGGCTCTGGCACATCTCCTGAGGAATCATGAATCTGTTGAACAGTACCTCGGAAATTTTGGGAAAAACACTTCAAATTTCAGAGGGGGGCTAACAATTTTGGCCTCAACTGTATACTTTCTATAGTTTTACCACAATAGAGGTAGGAAAGTTGTATCTCTGCATTCAGCACTACACAATTCACGATGCACTTAGTGTGAACGTTGATTATTTGAATTGGGCAAAGGATTGATGGACTGTCCTTGGTTACAACTTACATATCAATACTTGGAAATGACAGTAGGTAACTATTTGATTGTTAAAATATGGTTGAGTATATAACAGAATCACTCTCTGTTGAAGTGTGTGGCCCTTAAAAGGACCTTTGTTTTGCAAGTAATGTTCCCTGCTGTAGCAATAAAGCTGCATTACAGAGGCAGGGGCAGATCCAGGTTATTTTAACAGGGTTGCCTGTAGACTTGGAAGTGGCATCAAACGCTCATACCCAAATCAGAATCAGTGGCATTTATTCACATTTTCTAAAGCCAGTAATCATCAATTGACCACTACTATCATGGTATCTAAAGGGTGTAACAATATATCTATTTGTTTCTTATTCATCACCTGGCTATGTTTGAAAACTTCATTCTAATTGGTCCAAACCCCAAAACAGTACTTATCGATACATAGCAGAGACATCCTATCAATACAATACATGGAAAGGAGTCTGGAAAGTTCAAGATTTTACCTCTTCTTGTTGACAATGCAGTAATGAAAAGTTCGCTTCCATTGGGGCCAGTAGGCTACGTGGGTAGTATTTTTACCTTATTTCCTTCAATTTATTGAAAAAAACAAACAAACTGACTGGCTGACCATAACAGAAGGGAATATAACACAGGGACAAAAGAATTCAGAGACCATAGAGGGATATCAAAATTCCTTTCTTTCTAACTTATAAACCATAAACTGTATAGGCAACATGACTCTGCCCCCTGTTAGATGTACAGATCCAAAACCAAACTAACCCCAGTTTGGGTCAATGACGTGACGCCTCAATATTCTGTCTGGCTGTATTTTCTTTAAGTTACAAAAAGTTTTTAATGTAAAAAAATAGACTATCTATGTGTAGTATCTCTCTAATATATGGAGCAACTTCAACTTTTCAAAAATCAGGATTTTTTTGTAATTTTTCTGAACTTCAAAGGGTCAAAATATCATGTGGTGCGACCGTCCGGCCATGACTTCTGTTTTGAAAACTTCTTTGAATACTTCTTTCTGCAATATTCGGCATAATTTTGAAAGTGTTCTTTATTCCTGTACAAAATTGCAAAGCTTTTGCAGTTATATTTTTTTCATAATATACAAACAAATTCTGTCCGATCGTGACCATTTCATTAAATATCATGTGGTGCGACCTTCAAGAAATGACCATTTTTGACACTTTAATGCTGAAATTTACTCAAGGACAGGATGTTGCATCATTCACCATTTTGTCATAGAGCTATGGAAGCAGAAAGAGGGTTGGTGGCTCTCTCATTTCTTTAAAAAAAAAGACCTTTTCAACTGCTGTAATGGCGATGCCACTTTTGGATATCATGTGGTATGACCTCAAAAAAAACAAAACAATTAATTTAAGTTATTTCCACAAATATGTATTTTAATTATCAATTTCATAGCTGAGCTTTGTTTATGTGACTAATTCTGTATCAATAAGATTTGACTGAACTTGAAAATGTCATGCGGTGCGACCAATTATCATGTGGTCCGACCACTGCAGATTGTTTTACATCATAAATATATGCCCTAGATTGGCAGTATTTACGCTTTTTTTATTCAACTGATGATTGATAAACACTAAGTACTTAATTTTTAGTATTATTTTGAATTTTTTTTTTTATTTGATGAGTCATTTTGCTAATATATCTGAAATAATGGTTAGTTCATCTCTGTGCAAAATAAGAAAAAAAATATTAAAAGCATGCCGTTTCACTTAAGGTATTTATGCCGTTGTAAGCAATTTATTAACTTTCATGTATCTATTTAAGTCATTTTAATTTATTTTACCAGATGCCACTGCCGAGCAAAGTTAAAAGCGCTCACCAAGGGCAGCGTGTCAACTCTGACCCTGCAGCAGGTTGTTCATGCCAGGGCTGGTCAAAGGTTGGGCCAAGATTGTTGACATCGCTGCATGGATGGTGAGAGGAGCGCTTCGCCGAGAGCGTTATATTCATGATCGTTCAAATCCCATTGATTTACCTGATGACGTTCTCTATGAACATTACAGGTTTTCCTCGGACGGCCT